CTGTGGTTCTAGGTGACCCTTCTGGTTGTGGTCCTGGATCATCCAAGGTGGCCCTACACCACCTTAGATGACCCTAGGTGACCCTCGATGGTCCTAGGTGACCCTGGACAACCCTAGACAGTCCTAGGTGGCCCTAGATAGTCTTAAGTGGCCCTAGACAACCCTAGATGGTCCTAGCTGGCACTATATGGTCCTAACTAACCTTAGACAGACCTAGGTGGCCCTAGAGAACCGTAGGTTTCCTGAGGTGGCCCTAGGTGACCTTAGACAATCCTAGGTGGCTCTAGATGGTCCTAGCTGTCTCTAGACAACCTTAGACAGACCTAGGTAGCCCCAGATGGTCCTAGGTAGCCCTAGACAGTCTTAAGTGGCCCTAGACAACCCTAGGTGGCCCTAGATGGTCCTAGCTAACCCTAGACAGACCTAGGTTGCCCTAGATAGTCCTACGTGGCCCTAGACAGTCCTAAGTGGCCCTAGACAGCCCTAGGTGTCCCAAGGTGGCCCTAGATGGTCCTAGGTGGTCCTAGACAACCCTAGGTGGCCCTAGGCAGTCCCAGGTGGCCCTAGACAATCCTAGGTGGCCGTAGATGTTCCTAGGTGGCCTTAGACAATATCACATGCAGTGAGCAGGGTGGAAACGACCACTCTAGGAAGAAAGAACCTTTGCACCTGGAAGGTGCCAAGGACTGAGGTCACTCTGCCTGTCAGCCAGCAGCAGGGAGCGAGCAGAGCTGGGCAACAGCCCTTGTCCCCCCCCAGATTGTCCCCAAACTCAACAGTGAGGTTCGTTTGAGTTGCCACTCTGTCTCTCTTCTCCAGGTGGTGGAGGCTTATAAGGAAGGTCTGAGACCAGCCGTTGGCTATGAGCTCAACCCTTGGCTGCTGTGTCTCTCCAGCTACCGGGCCTGGAAGGCTGGGTACCACGAGAAGGTTGCCTTCCTGAAGGAAGATCTGTGGAAGGTAACAGCATCCTGAGGGTCTGGCTGGAGCTAGGGCAGGGCCAGGGCTTGGTCTGCACATCTGGACAGGCTTTGCTGATGGTCTCTTGTTCCTTCACTGACTTGTGCTGCTCTTGGGAGGCAGATAAACCATCCTCCTTCCTGGGACAAGGTCAGCCTGGGCTGCTGGTTTTGCAGGCAGCAGCTTTGAGGAGAGGTCTTAGGTGCTCCTGACATGTGGTGGCCTTCAGAGACATGCTGCTAAAGCTGCCATCAGGTACCCACAGCCCAACCAAAGCAAACCCAGCAGGGAACGTGTTTCTGGGATGATGCTGGAGGCAGGTGTTTTCAAGAGGTGCTGCTTTGACACCAATGCATCCCATCCCACATATTGTGGGGCATCTTGGCTTCCTCTGAAGTTCAGAAGATCACCTGCAAAGTGCTGGGTCACCTGAAGGGTTCCCCCGCTCTGGTGCTTCTTTCATTCCCCTTTTCCTTCTCTTTCAAGGTGAATCTCTCTGATTGCTACAATGTGATCGTGTTCCTGGCCCCCAGCGTGGTAAGTTGACCTCTCACACCCCAATTTCTTCTGAGCGAGCTCAAGGGAGGGTTTTGGTAGAAAAAAGAGATGATCTGGGACAAAGGTGAAACTCTCAAAAATCAGGCCAAGTGTTTGGTGCTCAGCACCACTCGAATTTGTAGAATCACAGAATCATTGAGGTTGGAAAAGACCCAACTGAAAACCTCACTCTGCCAAGTCCACCACTAAACCATGTCCCTCAGGGCCACATCTATGTGTCTTCAATCCCTCCAGAGAAGGTGACTCCACCACCTCCCTGGGCAGCCTGTTCCAATGCCTCAGAACCCTTTCTGTGAAGGAATTTTTCCTCAGATCCAACCTAAACCTCCCCTGGTGCAACTTGAGGCCATTTCTTCTCATCCTGTCACTTGTTCCTTGGTCCTAGTCCCAACCAGACACAGGGCTAGTACCAGCCCTGCATTTTGGAAGGGTCTTTGGTTGATATTCTCTGCTTGGGACCCACCAGCCATGCTGAGAAGCTGCCCTGTGATCCCTGGTGGCACTGCCACTACGTGACTTTCCTCAGGCCACCTGGCCGTGGCTGTCCTTCTCTCCCCAGAATCCTCTCCTGGCTGCCAAGCTCCTTGCAGAACTCCCTGATGAAGCTCGAGTGGTGGCTGGACGTTTCCCCTTCCCCTGCTGGACCCCCAGCAGGACCCTTGGAGAGGGGCAGGAGCAAGTCTGGGCCTATGACATGAAGGAGGTGCGGCGAGCGGCGCGGAGCAGCGCGGAGGGAAGCCCTGTCTAACAGCAGCCTCGTTAAGCCTGGGATTAAGGGTCGGATCCTCACCAGGCTTTGGGCTCAGCTCAGGACAGCGTGGCCAGGCTTTTTCTTGGGGACTTGCAGGGTGATGGTCCCTTCTTGCCTTCCAAAGAGGGGACAGTTTGGGGGAAGGGAAGGAGGGGAAAATCAGACCTAGAAACCCTGGAATTATGGCAGGATTTCAGGGCTACATCTCCAGTGCCTCTTTCTGTAGGGTTGTTACTTTATTTCTCATTCATTTTTCCAAATAAACACGTGGCTGGTTCTTCCCTGGAGATTTTTTGCTTTGCCTTTGAGCTGCAGGATGTTCCTGGAGCCAGAGCAACCGCTGCTCCCGGCCTCGGGCAGCTCGGGAGGGGGTTTGTCCAGCTCACCTCCCACTGAGGGATCACTTGGGCTTTGCTCAGCTTAGACCACTCAACCAGAGGAAAAAAGCTATTTCCCATCAGAAAAAAGCCAGCTTTGTGCAACCTCTTGGACCAAAGTGTGGCTTGAACCTCTTAGAAGCTGAGAGGGGAGCAGAGGCACAGAGTTGGACTGTGGTCTAGATCTGACCCAGGAGAAATGTTCTTGGAGGAACGGGAACCCTGCAGCTCCACAACACAAAGCTGCCTGGGAACCTGACCCCGTGTCCCCAGGCGTGATGTGAGTGGGGAGCAGCAGAATTCCTGCAGCTGAGGGGTCAGGGTAGATGAGACACAGTTGTCTCGTCCCATTTTAGTCCTGTTCATTTGAGACCGCGAACACCCACGTGGTTTCCCTCGCTGTGCCTCCCAGCTGGGGAAGATACTTGTCCCAGGCAGCCAAGCTCCCTCCTTTCAAACCCTGCTCTTCCCTGTGATCCTGCTGCTCCTCAGAGCCGTGCTGGAGAGCGATGGTTGGTGGCTGATGGTCCTTCTGGCTCTGGGCAGTGGGTGAGTATCAGCTGCCCCAGCGCTGAGCACACGTGGCACGTCGCTGCCAGTGACCATCTTCAACTGGAGGATCTCCTGCTTGTACCTGCAACAGGGAAGCAGCAGCAGTGTTGGCCATGTGGTCACAATCATAGAATGGTTTGGGTTGGAAGGGACCTTAAAGCTCATCCAGCCCCACCCCCCCTGCCAGCAGCAGGGACACCTTCCACTAGACCAGGTTGCTCAAAGCCTCATCCCTCTGACAGCTCACACACCGGGGCGATGGATTTAAATGTACCTGTTGCGTTTGCTGCGTGTGGAGAACACACAGGGTCGGTTAATGCAGAGCAGGCACTGACCACACTGGGACCTCAGCCCTGGCAGATTGTCCTGCTTTCACTAGGACAGAGTTAATGTTC